AAAATCTAGCAGTGTATTTACAGCTGACTATTAATATTTAGCTCAAAAAATATCATTCCCCTTATAGATCAGCCTAAGTACAAATATTTGTTACATTTGTTTTCAAACATTTACACATTTAGTATACTCCAAAATGCAGCAGAGTGAATTAAAATAAATTAACAGTTATTTCTGAAGGATGCGTAGCAAAGTTTTCCTCACTTCTGCGCAACTGCCAAAACAGTTTCATAATTAAAGGAGACATTTCACTGTATCGTTGTGTAAGCCATGGAAGTATTGAGGTGTGATCCACAGAAGACACTTTTCTCCCTAGCATCCAGCTGAAAGAAGTATAAAAGCATTTTCTGTAGAGGTTACTTTTGTACATCGAGTGAACAGCTCTGCAGTTTTTAAATATCTCAAAGAAGATGAAGACAAAAATGATGGATAGAAGCTTTTAATGACGGAATACTAAATGTTTCCCTGGTTTGGTATGTGATTACAGTGATGTAGTATAGTACTTGAAGACTGAGATATGATAAAGAATTGATGTGCAGTTAGTGGGACACCTATATATAGCTCTTACCTAAAAGCCCACAAGAGCAAAGCAAAGGGAGTGTGTGCACTCAGTGGTATACATCATCTCTCATCGACTTCACACTCTGGCTTCAGGAAACATAATTACTTTGACCTCATTTAGCCCCACTCTCTAGAAAAAAAACCCCACGTACTTTTCAGAAACACCTAAGCGGCGTTGAGTCTTTGCAAAAGGTATCAGTGGGTTCTTTTGATAAGGAACGTTGTGCTGCATGAGACCAAACAACGTGCACCCACCTGCCCTGGGAAACTGCCCTTGGGCCTGCCCCGACACTATGGCATCCTTACAGTTTCTGAAAACTTTTAGAATTTATAATACTCATTCTTATCAATTAAATTCCTCAGTTGCAGGACTGAAAATTACATTCCTTGTGTAAAGAGTTTGGGGAAAGTGGAAAAGTGCTACTTAAGAACTATTTAAAGGCTGAGTTTCAAATTAAATTAGTTTAGTGCTACTTATGAAGAGGTTTGTGATTTGGAGTAAGATATTTTGAAATTGTAAAATGATAAAAATAGAAAAAATTGACACTTATAATGCTGGAGTCAACTACTTGACAGTGATATCTATATGTATTTTGCCAAATGCAGTTATTCGGGCTACTCCATTTTCCAGCAATAGCACCATGAAGTCTTGTCCTCCTGGCTGAGTAGTAGCATCTGAACAGCTTCTTTACCGGTAGAAGATGTTGGAGTCCTACTGTCCGTTGGACCTTTCACTGCTCATTACTGTATCAAAATAATAAAAAAGATTTCAGAGTTCACCATTTGGTTTGTATCTCCAGGCTTTTCTTGTGGATCTTGGCTTCTTCTACATTCTGTCAAATTCTGGAGGGCTGCTCTTACCCTGTTTTGATGATTTATCCAAGTGTGAATAAAGCAATGAAAATCTTCCACTGAGGGTTGGTCTCCACTTCATGATGTTGCAGCATGGAATGTGTCGCATCCTAGAGAGCTTGGTCCAGAGTCCATTTCTGTTTCAAGATGCAGTTTCTGCAGTTGCTTATGTGGAGGAGTGCTACTAGGAAACTATTTGATGTAGTTTTATACTTCTCGGTTTCTAAAATGCAATTTGGCAGATGAAAGCAGCTTGGCCAGCTGCCCATGTCTCATTAATTTTCCAGGAATGAGCTGTTTGCACTCTGAAGATGACAGCATAGTTCCTGCTCATGAAGAATTTGGAAGCTACTTTGAAGGCATGACCAAAGCATTAGGTCATGTTCGTCTTTTTCTTAAAGAAAGTTCCACTTCCAGATAGCTTTTTAGTAGAAAAGGTACTGAGCCTTACCTGAAACTGCAGCCGCTGCCTCTGCTGGGAAGGATCCTGTGATGTACGACATCGCGTCGTTTGACATGGCTGTCTGGGGAGGAGAGATCTAACATGTGTGCAGAGCATCCTGAGCGATGCGCTCAAAGAGCAACTACATGGAAGGAATAAATGATCCTTAAGGTGTCTTACTGCTCCACTTAGTATGTCTCCGGTGTCTTAGGGATCTTACGGGTTTGTTGGGGTTTTTTTAAGTTCTTATGATTTTGCTTTCTGCAGTTGTTGTCTGTGTAAGTTACTTGCTCTGAATAGGACTTTGAATCCCGGGTTCTTTCTTCTATGTGATAAGACATCATTTTTCAAATTATTGTAGTATATCGTATCAAAAGGAACAATTTAATTTTCTGTAACAAAAAATGGGAATCATAATGTTTTGCTATTTATTTAATGATATTAATGTTCCTTTTTAAAAGCATTATAGGTTATCTTCATTGTTAATGTGAAGTGAATAACATGAATAGTTAATAAAGCCATATTTTTATAGGACAAAGTGAAATTTAAGATTCTATAATATATACAAGGCATGCTAATTTTTAATGAAAATATTTTGCTGTGGCATTTGTGTAACTTAAAAAGTCAGACAATATGTCTTATGCAGCTTTGATTCTGCACTTCAATACAGTGTAACCATTCCTTTCATGAGACAGTAAATAAAATGAAAGAGCATACGGTCATTATATGTAGGGGCTGTTCCTTTCTGAATTGAAGCGGTGTAATTAATTGATTAAAGTATATTCCATCTCTTAGTTCAAGAAAAAAATACATTACTTAATTACGTTGTAAGTGGCTTTCCCTATTTTATCTTTATTACATAAGATGCATGCATACAGAGAATTGCTGAAGTGATCAATTATTTTTTATTCCTGAGTATCAGCAGTATTTTCAAATATAGCCCAGTAAAGCAGAGAGAAATGTTTGCTGGCCAGCAATTGCATTGTGAAATACAAAGAGAGAGTCTAAAAGACAGACACTCACGCATCTCTTTATACTAAGTTGTGCAAATTAAATTAAAATCTGTATTTTTTTCCTTTTTCTAAAAACATCATTGCAACAGTTTTCTATCTAAAACTTATTTACACTATGACAGTGTTGAGTGCTTTTCTCCTGTGAGCTGTTTTCCACAGTGACTGTCCTTGACCAAACCAGAAAATGAATTTGATTTCTCTAATGCAAAAGGTAATTGGATTTCTCTTTATGGAATGCATCCCTTTAATGACTGTCTCTGCTTCAGCCAATTTAGCTGCAACCGACCTGACATTGATCTGGTGATATGACTTTAAATAAATGCCAAAGCTGGGAGATGAAAGACCAGCTGTCTGATACCGGAAAGAACATTTCCTGCCTCGTCTTGCCATTTTCCTCAGAAAATGTCTCCTTCTTGAATGTCATTCTTACGAAACATGCCACTCTCATAATTGGTCACAGAGCAGCAGATCTCATCCTTCTACCAAATACAATAAGTATTTCCCAGAAAGTGTCTGGAGAAAATATTTAGAAAATTGACTAAAACCTCTTGAAATACCTGTTCTTCTTTGCAAATATTCATTCCTATGTAGACTCTTCCAAGGAGAAGAAGGTATTACTCAAGTAATGGATTAAATCTTTACAGAGGTCTTGTTCGGCATTAAATATTTATCAAAATATTTGTTTAGATAATAGGGATCTTAGAAAAAAGCGTCATAGCATGCTGATCTGAGAAAAGTTTTGCTTACATAAAACAATTAGTAAAGATGGTATTTCAGGATATGACCTGTTCTTTCTTCAGGCTTGGTGGAACCATAAAATCCTAGAATGCGTTTTTCTGTTTATTTAACATATTCATTATCCTTTGGACCCAACCCTTCAGGATAATATGCTGAGCACTTTTAACCCCAAATGGACTTGGAACCAAAATTTAGAAGTTGAATGTAGTTTATACGTAGTTTTAATTTAATCATAGTCCGTGTGTTCTTTTTGATAAACACTGATAGTGTCATTGATTGAAAGTGGTAGCTCCCACTCTGGATGGTACACTGGATTTTAAAACCTCTGTGTATCAAAGTAAATGTAGTAGAAAATAAAAACATGAACTCTTGACTTCAATTTGAAGTTATTTCCTTCTGAAATCTTAAAGAGTTATTTTCAGACTAATCAAAACGGTTAGTAATTTTCCACTGTGTACTGATACCAGCGACAGTAAGAATTTGTTTAACTTATCTGTATTTCGAAGCAGGTGCTCACCCCTATTTCCTTTATCTGATCAGTTATTTCTTAATCTTTACGTATGGGTAGGCTTTCCACTCTTCTGGATCTTTTACAGAACGGAATTGATGAGTTTACTGTAACGTAACTTTTGGTGCTTTTTTTTCACTACAGTTAACGTGAAGTGAATGGATATGGAAACACAGCTTCCCAAAGGTGCAAGCCCCTGAGGGGCATTCGCCTCCCTCATTTAGCTGAAAGTCATTTTTAATACTGTGGTGTTCCACCCAGAAGTAGTGCCTGCGTATGAGTCTCTGGACAGAGAAACAGATGGTCTCTTTAGATAGGAATTATGAAAATGAGAATAAATATTTCATACTTTTTAAATTTTGTGCAAGTTTTAAGGGATTTTTGTGCCTCTAGTCCCAAGTGTGCTTTTCTTACTGATAGCGGGAAGTGAGAGGAGGTTATAAATGGCATCATAGCACTGAATGCCTGGGCTGGTGCTCCCTGGCTGCGGAGTCTGGTTCCAAGAGTGGAAAATTGTGCTGGTGCTGCTCTCGGGGAAGCGCATCCCCTCTCCCGGGCTGGACCGGGCAGCTTCGTAGCCATAGGGGAACGTAACCTGTGTGCTGTAGGTTGCTGTAACTTTTAGACTAGTTCTTCTTCTCTTATCTTTGGATCCCCACAGGTTTCCTTGTTTCTCAGGGAGCTGCGTGCACTTCTAGAGGCAGCATACGTAGGCCAGTATACTTCATCTTGATTGCAAGTAACACTGGAGATACTATTTTTCTACTATTAAAATAATCAGAACTGTAGCAGGTGTGTCATATGTAAAAGAAAGTGTTTGGAAAGTCCATGTTAGTACCTTCTTTTGTGACACCAGTTTAACTGTGTATTATTTCTTCTTTCCCTGTAGGTCACTGATATGATGCTCCAGGACAAACCCTACCCAGACTGGGGAAAGTCTGCCAGAGCTTTCTGGAAGAAAGGAAACATTAGGATCATTTTATTCTGGTAGGAAAATAGTAAAATCAAATTATTGTAAATGAACCTTTTATAGAACATCCAAAAATATATCTTCTAATTGTCTGTGGCAGGAAGAGATATATAGTTGGGAAAAAATGAAAATTGATCTAACAAAAAATTAAACGTTACAAAAGCTGTATGTGAGCGAACAGTTCCTAATCAAAATCGTTGGTGTAAAAATGTAGTTTCTAAATTGATTTATACTGTTTCTTTTATTATATCTTTGACACTGTTTATAATTGAGTTGAAACATTTTTGCTATATGTGTTAATATTCGGATGTCCCATTGTCAGTCCTTCTAATTAAGGTAAGTGGATATGTGAATGTCCTTTTGTGACCTTGAAATTAATTACAGTAATTCTTTGAATTAACACATGAATAGGATTTCAAATGGCGAGTCAGCATCAGATTATTAAGAAAAATATTAAAAAATCAATGCAAAAAATTGTGAGGAGTAAGCGTTTATTTGACCCCAAATGTAGCCTCTTCCAGGTAAATTCAGGCCAGCTGTAATCGTTGAAACAGAACACAAGTTGTGGCAGGAAAAATGGAAGTGTATAGTCCAAGAAGCAGACTGAAGACCTTATAGCTGAAGATGAAAGAAATGTCAAAGGTTTTTTTCAACTACATCAGAAGCAGAAAAACTCGTGAAAATATCAGCAGACCTGCTGTTTTTTAGAGAGTAGATTTAGAAGGAATTGTTACAGAGAAGTTGGAAGATTTATGTACGTGAATTCTGCTACAGAAAATGCAATGAAATGTCTATACCTTTAAAGTAGTAAAAATGAGATATTATATTAAATTGAGGCAGTTAAAGGAAATAATAAGAGAAATTTAAAGACTAGAACGAAAGCAGAATCAGATGGCTGCTTGGCTACAAGCAAGGTTTATAAGGAACTGAAGGGGCTGAGCTGATGCAAATTTTATTAGCACTTAATTGCCTATTGAAAAACTGAATCTTAAAATTTGGCTATTGCTTTGCTTTTGTTGCTTTTTTTCCAACAAACTAGAATTACCCTACTGGCCTGTAAGTCTGAGTTCAGTGTTAGCTAAATGGATTGAGTACATCATCAATAATAAAATTATGAGCAAAACTCTAGATTAAATTCTGCTAAAAGAAGCCAGGGCAGCTTTGCTGAAAGAAAACCTTCTCTGAGCTGTTAGAACTCTTTGAACATGTCATCAAAATAATGGATCAGGAAGAAATGCTTGATCTAATTTATTCAGACTTTCAAAAGGCTTTTGGCAAAGTTCTTTCCTGAAGGCAATTAAGAAAACCAGTAAGCCCCATGGAGTGTGCTGAACATTTAAGAATCATCTCAGAAATGTGCTGTGGAAGGCATAAATATAATAATAATTTTTTGCTACGTTGATAAGACAGGGGAGTCCCATTATTTAATGTAAGAAGTAGTATTCATTATTTGTATATATAATATCTATTAGTCACATGACAGAATTTAAAGAAGAAGTGAATAATTTGACAAATGGTAGCATAGAAGAGAGAGAGCTCTTAGAAAGCTAGATGAAAAAAATAATTATTGAAAAGTTTCCGGGGGCGGGGGGGGACACACGACTTAAACAGCTCCTTGTTGTCATTGTGGGATGTGCAGAGGAAGGTTCTGTCTCGGTGTGCCAGGGTGGGCAAATAAAAAATAATTAAAAAAATGCTCAGATAGGTACCAAGTGGGCTGGCAACGATCACAGTGACATTTGGTTAAGTCAGTGAAAAGCTCAGTCTAGAACATCATTGATTTTTTTCACCCTTGTCTGAAGATCAGCCTTGTCTGAAAGACTGCAAAGGAGGTTAGTTAAGAGTCAAGAAAAAACTTAATTACACAAAAAGACTGAAAGAATGGAAAAAAGGGTTAAAAGCAAGGTGACGTGATAGAGAGACTTCAGATTTATATGCCAGACAGGGAGAACAATAAAACACTATTAAAAGTACCTAAATGTTGTTGTGGGAGATGTTTTGACTTCTTGCAGTCTGAAATGTTATAAATCTGTATTTTCTTTCAAATAATATCCACATTAACAAACCCTACCAAAAGTTTAAAATGGAGGTAAAGTGAAAAACAATGGTTCTTTTCATGCATGATTCTCATACTAAGTGGTATGCTTAATGGAGATTTCAAAACCTAAAGGGTGACATAAATGCTTTTATTTTTAGCTTTAAGCAGTGAAATAAAATAGCCCTGGGCAACAGTCTGCATTCTGTAGAGACCTTATTCACAGAATCAGAGAATCGATTAGTTTGGAAGAGACCTCTGGGATCATCGAGTCCAACCTTTGTCCTGTCACCATGTCAACTAGACCATGGCACTAAGTGCGCGTTGGACATCAGTAAAGCAGACTTTTTTTTTTCCTCTAAAAAGTAGTAAAAACAAAGGGAGGAGATAAAGTATTGATAATGATATGCATGATAATGTGGGGTATTTGTATTTCATTTGTTATTGCTTAAGCAGTGTGATGTGAGCAGCCTCGTTTCTGAAGTGTCCTAAATGAAGCATCCTCAACAGTATGTCCTACACAGATACTGGTATGCCAAAATCCATTTACTCAGGGCATTTCCTAGCAGCACACCTGTTTAGCAGAGATAGTGCAATACACTGTGCTGTATTTTAATTATTCCAGATGCAGATATGTGATGCACAAAGTAGTTGATGAATCGAAAATTTTAGATACACACAGGACTTGTTTTTTTGTTAACATCATTTTTATTTTCAGGTTTATTTTGTAAAATTAGAAAACATCTATAAATGTACCAAAGACAGATGGATTGTCATGGGGGTGAAGGCACCATCCACTTGTTTATAACGGTTGATGACGTGACTGCTTTGTGTTTCTCACTTGGAAATGTTTTCAGCTCTCCAATGCAACTAATTAGCAAAGGTTTCGATTTAGCTTATCATCTCCTGTTTTAAATCATTCCTTCAAAACATTGTCAGCAACTGGTTGTTGGTTGCCTCTGAGGATTCTGGCTACCTTTTGGATGTCTTCACAATATAATTCTTCCACAAACAGCTCAGCTAGCTCAAAAATGTCCATTTGCTGTTTGCCTTTGTCTAGCCTGTCACTAAGGAGTTCATTGAAGTGCCTTCTACTTTTTTACAGTGAGGGGTTGTCTTTTTTTTTTTAATAAAAAGGTCTCCATTTTGGTCATTCCCAGCTCCGCTCATGGCTAATTCCACCATCCAGACACACCTTTGGGTAACGCTGTTACAGGCTGTGTTATATTGCGGAGTGATACAGTGCAAATACAAACACGTAAGAAAAGCGTATTGTCAAGATGGCTTTTAGAAAGCAATGAAATATCTGGAACGTTGGTGGAATTACTGGGATGGTGCAGACGTGTTTGTGGGTTACAAAAGAAAGATACCCACAGGGAGTTAAATATCCTCGCCACCCGGCAGGCAGGTGAGGCTGCGGTAGGGAGACAGTTTCCAGTGCTCTGTGGTTACCCTCGCCATTGCAAAGTTACAGGCATGATTTGAAATAGGCTGATTTATAATTTTTGGATAAGTTGATAATTTGGCTGTTTTACGAGAGACAAATTGTATATGACATGAGAGGACTGGCATTTGGAAGAAGCAACAAGGAAAAAAACGTTGTTAGATTGAGCCAGATAAAGATCTTGGACAAGACTGATGACAAGCCAATGGCACTAGCTAGTGAGAAGTTCAATAAACAGGACAATATAGAACAGTAGTTATTTTTAATGTTGGATATTGGAGGAAGCAGAGAAGTACAATGTGAGAAGATTGATTATTTTGTAAATAATTCCTCTGATTCCTCTGGTACCCAGCTCTCAGAAGCGGTACGGACAGACGATGTCGTTACCAGCAGCGCTCGCTAACGCCGCAGGACGTGCTCCGCTTCTGCGCTCGTCTCCTGTGTTAATATACGGGTCTCTGCCACCAAGACCTGTGGTTAACCTCTGCCTTCTCTCTGCCTGAAGTCACGATCTCCTCGTTACACCGTTTTACGCCTTGACCCGCCGCATCCTGTGAAGAATTGAGCATAGTAGTTAGAATAAAATCACCAGGACATCCCTGGGCTCTGTGTGCAGTTTGGTTAATAGAGGCAAGACCCGAATACTGTCTCTTGACAAACTGTTCCAATATTAATTGTCCTCAAAACTTTCCTAACAGAGGATAGGGGGGATTATAATGAGCAAGACATGAAGAGTTCTTCATGTGAACTCTTAACTGTAGGAACACCAACAAAAAGAAACGAGTTTACTGGAAGAGAGGAGAAAAGCTGTGGAGGTCTGTGTAACCAGGGAAGAGAAAATTGATATTCAAAGGTAGATCATCGAAATGGGGGAGTGTAGAGATAACAGTGGATTGTGCAGCTGAGTATTGATTGCAGGCAGGGAGACAGAATAACAGATATGAGCTGAACGTTTGAATATGCAAGTAGCAGACTGGAATCCATTTCTGTGGTGTCCCTGGCTAGACAGTCGTCGTACATGTACGCGATGATCCGTCTTCTTGGGTGCAATAATGTGTCTTTGACATAGGACTCTTGTCTGAAACAATACAAAGCACATACCAACACGGAGGAGAAATAAAGTGTCCTGGGTTTGGCTGGGATGGAGTTATTTTCTCCCC